TGTGAAACAAGCACTCCCACTTTTCTTATTCTGCTCTTCAGTTATATGCAGACTTCAACATGTGCTAAAGATCCAGTTCTGTTTCCTAACAGGATTGCTTGACCATAAAAGCTGCACAAGGAGCAATTCACAAGTAGAATATTCTTCTGTTTAGTTGCTGTCATCCTGAGGAATGGGTGCCAGCAAAATGCCAGCTAAGAGCTCTTGGAAGGGACGTAAATATATTTAGTCAAATATATTGGAATAGTCAGGTTTTGATCAAGGATATCAAATTATACATTTTCCTGGAAACATAACTGAAGAAAAGAGACCACACAATACATTAGAAATGAACCTTTAATTTAAAGACTACATTTCTGACTCCAGTATAATTCATATCTCATAATAACTTGTTGAAATCAAGCCTCTGGATACACTGATAGATGTTAGTGCAATTTTGCAAATTGTTAAACTTATCTTAAAATGAGCTGAGTGGAATGGGGAATGAAACCCCAGATAATGATCAGTAGCCCTTTTGTATGTTTCTGTTTGTGCCAGGCACACCTCTGTTTTCTGCAACTCAAAGAGCTGTAAGTTTCCTTTTGGGAGAAAGACAGCTGAGCATTCAAGATATCTGAGTTCAGCTAATATTGGTGGTTTAATGGCAAAGTGTGAGCAAAATTATGCTTGCTTCTCCCACTAAGAACGAAAAAAAATCTGCTTCTAAAACTTTTTATGAAAGGCTAAACAGATATAGGAATTTTGAAATGGTACTTAGATTAAGCTTACCTTCAGATAACTGATTTGAGGAAATGATGGTATTCAGTTTAAAATAAGAATGATCTGCATATTCCTTATTGCCGATTTGAGGATCATATAATCTGGTACCACCAGCCAAAGTTCCCAAATGCTGAATTATATATTTATTAAATATATTGTGCCACCAACTGTAGTTATAGTGTGTTGTGCTAAAACAGTTCCCCGTTGCCAACTCAGGAAGTTTCTTTCTGCTTTGAGTTAGTTTATTTCATTTCTCATGGAAATATAAACTAAATCCAGTAGATTTCATTTTAAAACTTTGTTCCTGAAAAATTAAGCTGCAGTTGCTGTGATAGCTACGGATGTTCTCCGAGTGGGATTCCAGCCACTAGTGACTTGGAGGTTCAGTGTATATAAATCAGAAGAACATCTGCCCAGCTCTCCAGGCCCACTCCTTACTATATTTCAATTGACCACATCTCTCTACTCTCAGAATTTCTTATATGTTCAACACGTTCCTCCCATTCAGTTTAAGTCCCCTTGTTTAAGCAAAGTGGACTGGAAAAATCTTTCAAATGTTTTTGCAGTCACATGGAGGAACTATGTGGAAATAACTGACTGCTTGCTGGAGTACAATGTGAGGTTTTTGTGTCACTCTGAATTACTATGAGCCTATAATTATGGACAGTAAGGGAGCAATTCCTTACTATACTATAGTCCAATTTATGCACTTGCTGCAGAGAGTAGAATGGGGACCGTGTTTATTTGAAACCTGATCAAACTTTTTTCAGCTAAATATCCTTGTCTACATGGTGCTATGATAACATATACCAAATCCATTTAAGTTTTATGAAAGGTTATTAATAAGTATAGCTGCATGTCCTTTAGTCATTTCAAAGCAGCACTGGCTACACACTAGCCACAACAGATACATTTTCTGTGGTTGGGATGACATGAACTGCCATATTTTGCATTGACGCTCTCTTCTTTCTTCTCTTGACAGTCAAAAGCACATTAACAGCAAGTGCCTGTGTTCTGCAGAAGCCAGCAGTCTGAGAACTCTGTCCATGGATCCAATCCGAAGTCTCTTTGCTTTTTATAACTTTATAGTATTTTTTTAAAGAAAAAAATGTTCTAAAATACCTGAAGACTGTGATTGTTCTTTTTTGGTGTTGTGGTGGTTTTGCCTAGATAGATAAATAAATAACTGAAAGGAGAAGGGAAAGAAAGACAAAAACTGAATCAAAGGACACTGACAAAAATGCAGAATCCCCTTCCCAACTATATAATGACCGGAGCGGTACAGAAGCAGGGATCTCATACAATAATTAGGATTACAGGAGATATTAATATTTTGCCATCTTCCTGCGTGTGTCAAGTACAACTTAGTACAACTTGGCAAATAATAATTGCATTGGCAAATGCCCATTTTCTTGCTGTACTTTGATCATCCTTTTCTCTCTCTGTTTCTAATTGTACCTTGACCCAGCTTCCCTCTCTCTTTGCTTCTAAGTACTATTTGCTTTTAAAGCAGAACAAAAACCATGTTTCTAGTATAGCATATACACCAGGGGTATCAAACTTGCAGCCTGTGGGCCGGATGCATCATGTGCTGGCCACACCCACCCCCAGTTTAGCAAAAGGGGAAAAAGTTGTGATACTTCACGTGATGACAATGTGTCATCCCGAGTTTGACACCCCTGATATACACGATTGCTGTATCAGTGCAAGAATAGAATAGATAGAATGACTGAAAGAACCATTTTCATCTCTATTCTTGGTTTGAAAATTTTAGATGAGAAGAAGGCAGGTTTGCCTTTGCTCCTTCTCTAATGTTAAAAAAGGTTATTGGATCAAATCTTGAAGATAAAAACAAAAACCAGAGCTGGAGGACAGGGATGAGTGTGCACATTTCAGGCAATAGCCATGGAAATTGTTTATTCTCCACCAAATACATAAACACACAAGAATTGTTTTTGTGCAAATTAAAACCAAATGCTTGTTTTAGTGTTTTTCTATGGCAATTCTGCTATCAGCCCACTTTCTACTCCAGGTTTCCCCAGCTAGGTCCCCTTATTGAACGTTAGCAATAAATTTAACCAGCACCATAGAAGTTGTGGTTCAGCACATCTGGAAGGAGGCTGGTTTGAAAAATATAGAGGATTCAGTGGCTCTGGATGTCTAGACTCTAAGGGTCCCCAACTCCCGTTCCACGGTATGACAGAAACCAGGCTGCACAAATAAGCAAAGACCCACCTGTGGGATGCAGGCAGCACACGCTCTCTCCGGTCCGCAGAAAAATCTCTTTCCACGGAACCTGTCCCTGATGCCCCAAAAGGTTGGGGGCCACTGCTCTAGAGTAATGTACATTATTTGCCAAAGGAAAACCAATACTTCTTTTTTATGCATAGCTGTAGCTTAGCAACAAGAGAGCTGGATTAAAACATTACAGTGACAATGGCTTAACCCAGCAACAAGATATTTTTCACTCTATGTCCAATTCTTGAGCTGCAGAAAACATGTTAAGAATTTGAGGAACGAATATCTTATCAAACTTTAATTAATTAATTGGGGTTTGCGCCTGAGAAGGCCAGGTTTAAAGGAGCACTTGTTTACTGCTTAAAGTTCTAGATACTGAAGACAGCTTAAATATCAGCAAAGATCTCTGATTAAGAGATGAGGCAACTGGCATTCGTAGAGAAAGATGGGTGAACAGAGATGCTAAATTTCAGGAGCAAGAAATTACCTGTTTTCAGAAGTTGTGGAAAGTACCTGATAGTGTTGGCAGTGTGACTTGAAGGAATAGAACCCAGAAACGCTGAGTATACATAATTATTATGCAGTAGTATATACAAATGGCCATTTAACCGATAATGTGAGTTCTGTCTTGTTTCACTGAATTTCAGAGTAAAAAGTTAGATAAGCTTCACTTGGTCATTTGTAATGGCAGAACTGATCTTTTCAGTACACCCTGCTGCTTCACTGCTTCTCAGACACAGAGAAGTAACCTAGTGTTTTCAGAACAGCAGGAAGAATACAGATGGATGCTTTCCATGTACCTTTATCCATATCATGAAGTTGAGGGAAGAGAAGAAAATATATAGATATACAACTGGAGGTTGACCTCATACCCTGGAAAATTATGAAACTGACATTTAGAAGTATCGTGTAAGAAACTCCAGAAAAATCCCAATTCTTGGAATCTGCAACATCTTCCTTAAAAAGTGAAGAGAGGAGATGTTAGAATTGATTATATTAAAGAGAGAATGATGCTCACCTTAACTCCAAGTCATGGTAGGCTGGATTCATGGAATGTTATTGCGCTATACAGGTAGTCCTTGACTTATAACTGCAATTGAAATGAAAATTTCTGTGGCTAAGTGAGACATTTGTTAAGTGAGCAATGCCCCATTTTACAACCTTTCTTGCCACTGTTAAGTGAATCAATGCAGTTGTTAAATTAGCAAATTGGTTGTTAAGTAAATCTGGTTTCCCCATTGACGTTGCTTGTCAGAAGGTTGCACAAAGTGATCACATGACCCCAGGACACTGCAACCATGGCAAATGAGTCAGTTCCTGTGACCACAGGAATGCTACAATAGTCATAAATGTGAAAAAATTGTCATATAAAGTCAGTGCTATTGTAACTTCCAACAGTCACCAAATGAAATGTGGTAGGTCGAGAACTACCTGAAGGTGATAGTTTACGAGTCATCTGATTGACACTTGCCCTCTTCAATGTATTTTAAACACCAGGTGCAACTCAAACCAACTCATCCTATTTTAGCCCGACATGACACTTGTAACTTACCGATCTCAGTAAGTAGGCTTAACTAGGGGCAACTGCAGGGGTCTCCAACCTTGGCAACTTTAAGACTTTGTGGACTTCAACTCCCAGCAAAGTCCACAGGTCTTAAAGTTGCCAAAGTTGGAGACCCCTGGGCAAGTGAATCCTGAGAATTAGCCTGGGTGAGGCGGTAGCGGGCATTGCGTTCCAGTTTCCTCCCTCGTTCTCGATCATTTCTCCACACATTAGGGCCGCAAGATTACTCGGGCCTGGTCATTTCCAAACAAACCACGCGTATCCTTAAAAAGGCGGCAAGACGCTTTGTGGGTCGTCCCGTAAGAAGAGACTGGAAGCGGAATGCAACGAAAGCTGCCCAGCAGCATCTCTCACCTGGCCTCGCCCGGGAAGCCCCCACCTAGCCTTTTCTCCCGGGCGACGTCCCGCCCAACAGGTGCTTGTGCGTAGCAGCCGGCTGCAAAGTGCAAACCACACCCAGCCCTTCCTTTCGAATATAAACGCCGGAGGAGAAGGCCTGGGGCGGGGGGAGTGGAAGGTTTCGTCATGCCGGACGCCCCCGCCGGCTGCCGCGTTTGGCTGCGGCGCGGCTGCGGGGCCCTGGCCCACCTGGCAGCTTGGGGGATGACCGTGTTTCTGCTGCTGCTTTCCAGGCCTGGCACTAGTGAGTGACACCCCTGCTTCCGGTTACTCCCAGTACCGGCTGATCTCGCTTTGGACTCTTTCCTTGAAAGCGGCAGGTCGTCCCTTTCCCCCCACAAAAAGGCTGTTCTTTTCTGGCGCCCCTGGGTTGTCCTGGGGTAGCCTCTCCGTACTTGGGTCGCTCCTGAGGCAATTGGTTCGGAACCTTAACGATAGGGCAGCGGGAGAGCCCGCCTAATAATCGCGGCTTGTCTTTAACTTTTATGTATTCACATATGAGCTTAAGAGTTAAGCAGTAAATGTCAGGCTGGCAGATAGCGTCACATTGGCGGGACGAGCCAAAATCAGGAAAATATATAAATATAAATATTTAAATACCAAAGCAGTGGGGGAAGAATTGCACACGGTAAGCGAGAGAGTTACAAAGGGTGATGGATAAACCAGGAAGCTTTTAACAATGGGAAAAACCTGTGAAAATCTGTCTTGACTCTACACCATCACGGAAGCAAGAAGCTTTTTTGTGAACATCACTGCACGTTCGTGGTTTTTTCTTCTTTTTCTTCTCCAGGTGCTGCCTTTTGGGTTCATCTATATTTGCTTTACGCTTTGGTGAGAAAGTGTAGACTGTATTAAACTGCAGTGTATCAAAATAGCTGATGAGCAGAGATAATTCTCTATAGCTTAGCTTATGAAATATGACTTCTCTTGCCCCATTGTATCTGGAGATGGAGAAGGAAGCCTTTTTAAACATTTGTAGGATGTTGCTATTTTAATATAAAGATAAGAGAAATGGTAATAAAACAATCTTGGGCATCTGCAGAGAGGTAAAAAAGATATCTGATTAATGTACAGTTCCTTAGTCTACATTATTTAGAGGAAATACTGGTTAAATAAGCTTTAATTTTTCCCCATGTTAACTACCTAGAATTATGGTACCGTACAGCATTTTTGGGGTATAGGTTAATACTGATGCTCTTGGACTCTGAACTAGGGAAATGGAGGTGTGAGATTATTCCTGTGAGTGGTAGGTAATGTTAAGTATTAACATGGAAAATAAATATTACAGGACAATTGTCTTACATTAAATGATTTTGATTGCCTACTTGTCTCATAGTAATGGAATCATATGGTGCTTTGGTGACAGCTAGATTATGTTTGGGAGTTATGAGAGTTGAAAGGCAAGATAGAATCAGGTTGAATTTAATGGATGGTTGACCATTTAGATTACTTACTATTCCAAGAGAGTGAGAGCTGGGAATCATTTAAAAGGTTCATCCAAAGCAAGGATGGTAAAAAACAAACATGTTAATAGTTTTAGGATACTGTACAAGTTACTGGTTTGTAATTTAATGTCTTATGTGGCTGCAATTCTCATTTCTGGCAATTTAATTGTATTCAAAACCAAAGGTTTTATTGCAAAATTACTTCATTTGAACCAAACCTTAACTTTCTCCAAATTGGAACCATACATTTTTGGCTATGTATGTGATTTAAAGAACTTTTAAACCTGTGTTTGCAACATGCAATATGACAATAGATATGTGTCATGCCCTTGGTAGAGTTGGACTCCCCTGAGGGAGAGGAGGAACAGCCAACAGGGAATGGAGGTGTGGCTCTGGAGGTTGTGGAGGAGGGGAAGGGCAGAGGCCGGCTGGACAGTCTGAGGAAGAACCAGGCCCATCCCCTATGCACCCTAGGACACACAGGGAGGAACAGAGAAGGAAACAACTTGGCTTATGAGAGAGGAAGTGGCCATGATCCCCCTCATTAGTTGCAGCTGGGGAGAATACTATATAAGAAAGACGTTACAACACAGCGTTGCCAGAAGTAAAGTGTATTTTATTTTGGGCTGAAGTTACCTTGGCGTCCTTCCAACAGACTGTGCCTTGTTATCTCCTTGAAGTTGGTAATTACTTTTCCTGGTCCGTTGTGGAATTTCCTTCATTGTTTTGGGTTTTTTATTTCACATCTATCTGTTCATTAAGTTCAGACTGTATTGCTTTCTTTTAAAGACTATTTTTGAATAAGTTTTATCTCCAACTGAGAATTGTTGAACAGTGGGGCCAAATTGGAGGCATTAAAGGACATTTATTTACGTTTTGGATTTTATTACATTTGTGTTACACTCCGGGTCATCACAATATGTATATCAAAGTTAGCTAATGACAACTTGGACTACTTCAAATGTCATATCTTCTTAGGTGAAAAGCTCTAGGGAAAGCGCAAGCTACACTGATTTGCCCATGCTATGTGCCATGTGTCTTTCTTGGCATGCTAGATACATGGTTTCATGTCCCAGGCAGTACTTTCATGTCCCCAAAGTTTCTGGGACAAGCAGTTCAACCCTACAAAGGCTTCCATGCAAAGTTAATTTATTGGATTTTATTAGGCATCCTCAAAGTATAACTCACAGTTATGTTGAGATTCATCTAATGTCCAATCTTTGCCTCAATAGTTGCCTCAATAGTGTGAAAAGATGGTTATCTTCATCCCATAGCATTATAGCAAATGAAATCTCCCATTCGATGCTGGGTCCAGGTAAGAAAACCCAAAAAACTCGCCCAGCCTCACCAGAGATCAAGTTAGTGACCAATCAGGATTGCAGATGTGACCATGTGACATGAACTACATCTCCCATGAGGTATTAACTACATTTCCCATGAAGCATTCCCTTAAGGGGGCAGCTCTCATTCCTAAATTAAGTATATACTGTCTAACCAGCACACATGGGCTAATAAGAAATCAAGTATAGAGCCTAAATAAATGTTATATGCAGAAACTACGGTATGTGCAAACTGACATATAAGGCCATATAATGCTTGTTCCGCTTATTATAGGTGGTACCACTTCATCAACTTTGGCTGATTTTGAAAAACAGGATTAGATGACAACTAGGGTAATAAGTTAGAGCCATAGGGAAGACTGTAAAGGGACAACAATTCTTAAAGGTGGCAATCATAAACTATATACTAATGCTAAGAAAATAAATATGGACTTATGCATATAAGTTACTAGTTGTCCAGATCCATCACAACAACATAGTGGCATCTTTTTTTTTAATGGCTATTTTTAGTTTCAAGAGCAAACTAGGATAGGTTTTTGTGCAGGAGGAAATGAGCAGCACTTGATTTCTGTTGAGAGTGTGTTCATGCCATTATAAAATTGAATTTTGGAACCTAATAAATGACTTTGGTTTAAGCACATATCTATCAATTCTATTTTGTTTCTGTCTAAAATTAGATAACCAAGAAACGGGTTTTATATTTGTTTTCAAGTGTGCCAGGCACAGACTGTGCTCAAAATTTTGTATAATATCCATCTTAAATCTGTTTCATTATCTGCAGATCCCTAGAAATTACAATTGCTTTTTATGAGGTATTCTTAAGTTCTTTCAGTTTAGAATGGTGTTTATCTGTTGAAATAACTGCTGGAAAAAAAGTTTTATTTTAAAACTTGACAGCTCTCGAGTATATAACGGATATTTCTCATTTTGGAATCCAACAGCATCAGTGGATTTTATACAACAGACATTACAGTTCTGTGGTTGCTGGATTGTTTCTGTTTCTTTTATGTGTAGAACCACTTGTGTATGAAAGCTTTCTTATATTTATAATAATACCGGTAGGCATGATTCAATCAGAGTTGAGCACTTTTAAGTGGAACAGATTTCCATTAGGTTTTAACCTCCTTAATGTATTTCTGCTGAAATCAACAGGGCTGGTATGTTCAGCGTATTTCAGAGCCAGTTTAAGATTTGGGGACCGTGGAAGGGGGAACAGACAATATAGAAGTAGTACAGCAGTGTTTCTTTTTGTGAAATGCCATTAAAGTCAGCAGCCCAGTAAAGGGAAAGGCATGGGAAAGCTCAGAAGACTACCATAGGATTTTGCGATTCTAATTTTGTTGAATGAAAAATATTAATTCATTTGATTACTTCAGATACTGAATATTGTGGCAAAGCTCAGTTGTGTCCATGCCTCTGTACATAGCTCTATCGTGAAGTCTGTGAATTTCTATTAAGTTTAATTTCTAAGTTTCTCATGGAATATTCCTCCCTGTATTTCAATATACCCATACAAAAGAATTAAAACTTGCTCTGGAGATTTGGTGAACAGTTGAGTTAGTACATTGTATTTCTTGAGGAGCAATGATACAGTATTTTCAATATGGAGATTTCTCCCCTATGCTTCTGAATTGCTGTATCTTCCTTCTAGGCTGATTCAGTTCTCCTAAATCTGATTTTTGTTAAAGTGATCATTATAGATTATTTGCTGTTGTTGTTGTTATGGAGAGATCCATATGACAATGCTACGTAGTCCAAAATCTCTTCCCCCCTACCCCAGCTGACAGATTCATGGCCATCTCCAATGGTTGTTGCAACTTAATGTCTACAATTTATCTACCAAAACTGGATATGGCACAACCCTACCATTTTAAGAGTGGAAACACAGTGGCCTGAGTTTTGAACTGTACATTTGTACTTTATTATTATTAAGTCTAAATGTACTGCATTATGTATAGTTCAAGGTTCACACAGGCTTCTCTCTCCCCACTACAAAAAAAAGAAAGACAATCCAGGACCGAACCAGATGTGTGAAATAACCAGACAGATTCCTTCACTTCATTGTTCCACCTCTTGCAATCGTCTGCTTCTCCAGACACTGGTATCAAAAATTGCTGAGCACTGTTGTATAACCTAGAAATTTTAGTCGACTTAGAAGGGTTGCCCCAAAACACGAAACTTGAAGAATCTTCAAGAAAACCCATTAAGATTAAATGTGTCCAGTGTCTCTGGGATGTATTCATCGGAAGTTGGGAAAACAGGACGGGTGTTCAATGAAATGCCTCTAGTCTTGAACCTAGCCATTATATTTGCCCTGCAATTCTGTGTTTTGTTTGAAAAGTACTGCTTTTTCAATTGATAGAGGATTTGGAACAGAGCTGTAGTTCCTTCCCACCCCCCGGTAATTCCCTGCACAAATTGAAAATACTGTATATTCTGTTGTTACGAAAGGGGCATTTTGGAAAAGGTAACACCAGAAAATCTCTTAAATTCCCTGAAATACTTATCCCTACTAAAAGAAAGATGCCCCAACCTTGTAGCTGCTGTGAGATACTATCTTTTGTGATCTGACCCAAAATAGTGGATCCTAGATGATGAGAGGTAGGTTGACTTAAAAAGACTAAAAGCAAGTTTGGTGTAGTGATTAAGGCAGCAGGCTAGAAACCTGGAGACTGGGAGTTCTAGGCTCATCTTAGGCACAAAGCCAGCTAGGTGACCTTGGACTAGTCATTCCCCCTCAGCCCTAGGAAGCAGGCAATGGCTAAGCCCTTTTGAAATCTTGCCAAGAAACCTGGAGGGATTTATCCAAGCATTAGCCAGGAGTCAGTATTATACTGACTTGAGAGTGTGACTGTGTGCACATGCCTAAATGATGGATGAAGATGACTGAAACCAACTTGACAAGGAGAAGGGACTTGGAGGTCTGCACATTTTTATTCGCTTATTCCCATACTCTGCTTTCCTTGGCATGAAGAATAACTAAGCATATATTAAAGAACATTGAATGCCTAACATTAACTTGTCCCTGGCTATTGTGAAGGCAGCCTACCCCCTTTCCTTGTTCTTTGTCAAAAGCCATGGTTATTGATCTTTGCCAGACAAATCGGGGGATCAGTGAATCGTTTGGAAGCAAGGTTTGGGGCCTACCCTACTAGAGTTGGCCACTAGAGCCGAATGAAGGAATACATGTCCTATCAGCCTAGACCACTGATTCTTAAAGTCATTCACTGATAGGAAGAAATCAGTGCTATTCAACTCTGCCCAAAATTCTCTCATGCTTCAGTTGCCCGCCTGTGTATGATGGGAATAAAAAGAGAAGAAGGGGAAGAAAATTTGGAGGCCGCCTGCTTTCCTTCTTCAGGTGAAGCCTGCTGAATAGGTGTCAAGAGCTTCCTGCTCTGAGTTTTGGCTCAAGAGTATCAAATATGTTCAGTAGTCTTCAAGGCTGAAGCTTCCTATGGCAGGTGTACCACAGAAGGCACATAAAACCTATGCAACACAGCTTCAGAAGCCGGGGCAACCATATTTCTAGAGGGCTTCAGGAAGACCAGTAGAAATATGCATAAATGTAATGGGCTTGGAAGAGTAAACTTGAAGACCTGGAGGAAGAGACACGGCCAGGACACCAGTCAGACAAAATAAACTTGAATCTGAAGCAGAAATGCAATTTGAGAAAGCATCTCAAATGACCCTCCCTAGTTTCTTTTGCAGATAAAGGGAAGGAGAGGGAGCCACATTAGCTTCTGTTAGTATAACCTTTATAAAAGAGGTATTAAGATTCATAGCTTGGGTTTTTTAGTCTGGTCTACCTTGAAGGGTGGACCCCTCCCATAGCACCCAAGCACAGGGAGGCTGTCTCACACATAAAAGAGGAGCAGGGCCTTGATCACACAGTCACAGTTGCTATCTTGATCCTCCCCCTTCCCCCTCCCTCCCTGGCTATGAATGCCCCAGGTTAATTGGGATAACAAGGTTACTTTACAGTTCTGCTTGCTATGCCTCAAGTTATAATAAGGCTTATAAATGATGAAGAGAGGGTGCGAAGTCTTATATGCTCTTTTCTTATGCTGTGTTTTGTCTACATTCCTTCATATTTCTTAGTCATAGACAACAATGTGTAACACTTTTGGCCTGGTTGGCCCAACAGCAAAAGGATGATGACGGGCAACTGGATAGCACCTGCTTGGATTCACACATCTGATGTGTATTTAGTGTACTAAGTTTTTTTTTGTCTGATGTGTATGTATATTAACCCTTAGGGTGTGGCTGCAGAATTATTATTTATCCCTTTTATTATTTTTACTTCCCCCTTTTATTGGTTGTACCTTTTACTACTATTATTATATTCCGTTGTGTTGCAAGTTCACCGAGTACCCTGTTTCTCCAACAATATGGCCTCCCCCAATAGGAAGTCCCAGCATGTTTTATAGGCATGAAATGAAATTAAGCCCCTCCCCCAAATTAAGGCCTATATTAAAACATGCGAAATGGGGGGAATGGTGGGGGGGGGCTTGCCGTTAGGAAGTACTTTTGTTGTACACCCGTATATGGTGCTGCCTGCGTTGACCCCAATATGAAGTGCCCCACCAACGCCGAGGTCAACATCCAAGCCATCGCTGCCCTCCCAAAGATGCAAGGGGGGGGAATTAAGTCACCCCCAAAAAGATGGCCTAGCCATTTTTTCGGGGCTCAAAAAAAAATAAGACCCGGCCTTATTATATGAGAAACACGGTACTTCTGTACCGGACACAAATTCCTTGTGTGTCTTAACCACACTTGGTCAAATAAATAAAATAAAAGTAAAGTTTTAGAACAATTGGCTGATTGCATAATCAGAGTCAATGGTGGAAATTCAGGAAAGGGGGATTGTCCGGGCCCTTAGTACATCCAGTACTTTCTCCCCCAAGTATAAAAATAGTACATAACATGGTAGACATATTAAAATAGCCCTGCATTTTAGCTGCTTACTGCTTACTGCTTTAGCAAAATACGAGACCTGGGAATTGTGGTAGCCAATAGTTCTTGCAGGTATGTATATTTGGAAAATGTACCAGCTGTGCCACTTCTACAACAGCATGCACAAAATAAGGGTTGGATTTGTAAATTATTATCGGAACCGATTGTTGCCTAAATTAGATAACTCTTCTGACTAAGACAAAATTGGATGTAAGTGGGGGTGGGGTGGGGTGGGATGGTCAGGAAGCAATATAGAGTTGACATACATAATCCTAGTGCTCAATATGTCCTATTACTGATGCAGTGGCTTGATTGGCAGATGTTTTTGCCATCAGCCTATTGACGTGCAAAAGAGGGAGGATAGCAAAGCTGGAAGATTGAAGTAATTGCCTTGCATACTGTGCACTGTGCATGTAAAATCAGGAGATCCCATTTGGGAGACACAATAGAGGCAGGAATAGGGATTGGCAATGAGGGTGGAACATTTTTTGCTGGTTTTCTGTTGCCTAAAGAATTGGTGAATAAGACTTAACCTAGCAGTAGGAAAAAGGTCTGGGTGAAGACTTAATAAATTTAGAGAGCTTGAAGAAATTGTGGGAAAACATTAAATGCAATAAAGTTAAAACCTAAAAACAGTCACGTCTTTTCTAGATAAAGGAATCATCTTTTTTCCCCTCTTATTTCAGAGGAACAGTGTCAAATACTCTGTGTGCAGATGTTGAATGTGAGGGTGTATTTATTAAAAGGCTGCTGCATGTAAAGAGATTTGTATGAAAGAAAAAAACATAAAGATTTGAGAGCTAACAACTCCATGCTATGTGAATTATGGTTTCATTTTTCAGCTCTCTAGTGCTCCAAATTCTGTTTCCTTTATTAAAAATAAATATATAAAATATTTGTGGAGCAAATCTTGAAAATGTTTAAGACAGGGTTTGCTAAAAGGCTAAAAAAAAAAAAGGACTATTTAGAGGGGAATGGATTATCTTGTTAGAGAGTGGAAATGCTGCATTATGCTTGGATTCTTTTATTCTTCCCAAGCTGTCTTAGATCCTGCAATGTAGACTACCATCCTCTCTGTCCTTGCTAAAATGTTGGAAACACTGAAAGACAATGTTGTAAATGTTACAATTGGAACAAGTCACACTTCCTGAAATCAGGAAGCATATACAGGTAGTTTACATATAGAGCGTTTTGAGAAAGCCAGAGAAGTCAGGCTGAGAATTGTAACTAAACCTTAGCATATTTTCCTTGCATCATTTTAGCACTGGCAACTGTTGGCTGTATGTTCACAGGCTGATATCCAGAACCTTCCATAGTCAAGATACAAAGATGTCCCTCACTTGTTTGACTGCAGTCACAACTTTACAATACATGTATTTATATACTTGATTTTATATCTCTCCCACTTGGCACATGATTGAGATAAGCAAACATCAATAAATCATAAAAAAAAACAAAGTATAAAGTATAAAACCATCAGAAACAGCAACATAGAAACGCATAAGATCAGACTTCCTCTGTTACGGTCTCCTGGCATCAAATTGGCTGATGAAGTCAGGTTTATTTTTAGATTGCTTTGCCAAAGCTGAATAGACTTCCTTTTTTTCTCTTCCAGGTTTATTTTCCTGGCATCCGGTGTTCATGTCAATTGCAGTAAGTTGTTCTCTTCTTATTCGATATATCCCAGGATTGTTCATTTTTCCTGGCTTTATTTGTGAGAAAATGAGCATAAATGCTAAGGCTGCATTTACAGGTTGCCTTTTAAAGAGAGAGAGGCAGAAAGTCCTTTTGTCCTTCTTTTGCAGATGTCAGTAGTCGTTCAACACGTACACCTCTCTCTATATATGTGTGCTTTCATTCAGGCAAGTACTGTATTCTAGGCACCTGTTGAATAATACTTGAGCCATCCAACAAGAACAGTACAGTCATAATGGGTGTGGTTTGCCTGAAGAATCTTAAAACGTTTTCTGTCCGGTGTGGTTTGCCTGAAGAATCTTAAAACGTTTTCTGTCCTATAAAAATTGTGCATTCAGCTGCTGAAGCAGAAGGTTTTTTTTTTTTTTTTAAAGAAAGCTTTGCAGTTTCTTTCTATCATTTCAAATCCTTTCTCTTTAAAATTCAACATTTTAAATTATGCATGTCTTCCCCCTAGATTACACCCCCCCTTCCCAGTTAACCATTTGGGGAATATTTGTGTTAATTCTAAGTCGTTAAAATTAAATCCAGTAGTGCTCCTGGCTCTGCCTGGCTTTTGCCCAGCACACTTTTCCAAGCCCAAAGGTCACCTTTGAAGCCCAAAATACAGGTAGTCCTTTACTTACGACCACAATTGAGCCCAACGTTTCTGTTGCTCAGTGAGACATCTGTTCAGTGAGTTTTGCCCCTTTTTATGACCTTTCTTGCCACCGTTGTTAAAGTGAATCACTGCAGCTGTTAAGTTGGTAACATGGTTGTTAAGTGAATCTGGCTTCCTCATTGACATTGTTAGGCGGAAGGTCTCAAAAGGTGATCCAGAGGTGGTATTCAGCAGGTTCTGACCAGTTCTTAAGAACCGGTAGCGGAAATTTTGATAAGTTCAGAGAACCGGCAAATACCACTTCTGACTGGAGATTTTACAGTATTCTTCCCCCTGCCATGCCCACCAAGCCATGCCCACAGAACCTGTAGTAAAAAAAATGTGAATTCCCACCACTGAGGTGATCACATGTCCCCAAGACACTGCAACCATCATTAATATGAGTCAGTTGCCCAGCAACCAAATTGTGATCATGTGACCATGGGGATGCTGGTCTTTTTTTTTTTTTTTAAATAAGAAGAGTTTTATTTTTATAACAAAAACAAAAAATAAAACCAACTTTCAGTTATACAGTGTGTCGACTGGGAACATATATCTTGTGCACATATTAATATTTGTATACATTTCTTACCAAGTTTACATTCATCATTATCTATCGTTATATATCGTTATAACAATATCATTTAATTTCTTACTTTATTTTCCAACCATTTATAAAATAAATCCCAAATCATATAATACTCCATTTCTTCTTCTTCTCCAATTGCCAATGTTAATCTACTCATTTCGCTGCAGTGGTCTTAAGTGTGAAAAACGTCAAAAAAGTCACTTTTTTCAGTGCTGTTGTATGTTCTAATGGCCACTAAACGAACTGTTGTAAATTGAGGACTACCTGTACATGCATGTCTGATTAAGGTGTAAACCAGGGATGGGATTCTACCAGTTCGCACCTATTCTCTAGAACCGATTGTTAACATTCTAAGCAGTTCGGAGAACCGGTTGTTAGAAGAAATTACCGGCCTAATCCTGTAAGGAAGGCAGGAAGGAAACATTCTGGTGTTGCTTACAGAAACTGCCTCTCTGTTAACCCTTATTACGTTCTTGGCAGGACTAGACCTCCTGTCTCAGGAACTTCTCTGGAGTTTTTTCCCCCTCCTTTGCTGGTACTTTGCTTGTGTGGAGTGACCATTCTAAGTTACAATGGCACTGAAAAAAGTGACTTATGACCATTTTTCACACTTATGACTGTTGCAGCATCTCCACAGTCATGAAAGGCCAGGCAAGGAGATGCATGCCTCAATGTGAGTGATATTGAGTTGGCCATGCCCAGCCAATAACATGACCACCAAGCCACGTCCACCCAGTCACATGACCACCAAGCCACACCCACCAACTAAGCCACGGCCACAGAACTGGTTGTTAAAAAATTTGAAGCCCTCCGCTGGTGTAAACTGCAGATCATGAGGGGTGTGTGATTTGGGGCAGGGGAGAAAAAGGGAAGGGTGATATTTCTGCTTTCTCTTCTTTCTGCTTGCATGCTAGGAGGGCTGCCAAAGTGGCAATGACAGCGTAGAACAGCACAGAAGGAATGCTTAAAGATCAGCCTTTATTCCATTCTCTCCAGTTTTTGCAGATGCTCATTAAGTGAGTTTGCTGAGTACCATCCCCAGACTAAACAGTCAGTGGCCAGTGCTTGTCTCACAATAAGCAAGGACAGACCTGATTAAGTGCTTGCATAGGAGATGACCAGGAAATCCCAGCATTGTACATTAGGTTAGGAATTTTTCATTAAGAAATCAGGAAAAATGTTTTGGTCTGATAGCAGCAGGCTCGAAACCGGTTCTACTCTGGGTGACTTTGGGCCGGTCACAATCTCTCATCTTAACTCACCTCACAGAGTTATGGTTGTAAGGAAAATAAGAAGAGGGGGGAATATTAGTATGTTTGCCACTTTGAATTATTTATAAAATCAATAAAAGCAAGATTACAAAATCTAAAAAAAAAAGCAAACCATTTGATAGAAGTGCCCAGAGAACTGAATAGACACGTCTATGAAATCACTAGGAGTAGAACCTGACTTGAAGTAAACACACCTCTTAATCTTCATGTGAATAGTATTTCTCTCTCTCTTTCTCTCTCTCTCTCTCTCTCTCTCTCTCTCTCTCTCTCTCTCTCTCTCTCTCTCGTGTCAGTTCAGATCAGTCAACTGATTTTTAAGTGCTTTTCTATTATATGTATCACCTTATCATTTACTGCATATTGAAAACCTGCACCAGGAGAGGTTGGGCTGAACCTGTCCATTATCTGTGTGTGAGGAATCTACTAGGAGCTGAACCTTGGGGGACAATTATTACTTTCCCAAAAGTTGCAAATGGAATGAAGGTGTAGGGCAGTGATGGCTAACCTTTTCGGCACCGAGTGCCCAAAGCACCTGCACGTCCCTAAAATGCAATCCCTTGCGCATCCCTTGCGCATGTGTGTACGTCCCCCATGAATGCACGTATGTCCCCTGTGCATGCGCCCCCCCCCATATGCATCCTGCCCCCCATGCATTCGTGGCAGAAATCCGAAGACCAGCTGGCGTGCCTACGTGATGGAGCTGAGCTGGGGCGATGGCTCGCAAGACCATAGACAGCACTTCTGGCACGCGTGTGATAGGTTTGCCATCACGGGTGTAGGGTATTTTAAAAAACAAACCACTTAAAGAGGCAAAATGTATATTTTTTTACCTCAGTTGTTACTTTAGGAGTAGCCTTGTTATTAATGGGTTCCTATGTTCTCAGTTCTGCCTCTGCCTGACGGAAGCCCTCCTGATCTTCTCTCCAGAGGCCTCTCTTTTCTTCTGCTCCCACAAAGCCAAAGTGCAGCTGCACTGGATTGCACAAATGTTGGCCCTCGTGGCTGCCACCTTGGGCTTGGTCTTCATTATCTCCAGCAAGAACCGGAGCGAACTCCCACACTTCATCTCCTGGCACAGCATCCTGGGTCTTGTGACTATATTGGCCACCTGTGGGCAAGTCCTGTGTGGATTGGGCCTGCTCTTTCCACAACTGCTAAGGATTTCATTAGCGGCTCAGCTCTGGAGATGCCACACTGTGTACGGACTGATAGTTTACTTGCTGGCCACTTCTACTGTAGTACTGGGCATTTGTTCTGACTGGTTTCAGGCCCAAATCAAAGGCATAGCTTGGTACTTGTGCCTGGGATTGATCTTCTGTCCAGCCCTCGTAATTATGAACCAGATTTCTAGAACTTGTTTGTCAAAGAAGAGACAGTATGTTTGAGGTGTGATCTCCGCTCAGGAATCAACATTTCAACACTATAAACATTTCAAACACTATCGATATTATTTATGTGTTCTCTTTTTATCATGATCTTTATTACATTCCTGTTTAATTATTCTATGCATCCTGCTGCTTTTGTTCCATAGGTTGGTTGGGTGTAGACATGCTAGAGGGAAATTACGAGTTAGAATTCAGCAGATCTTCAGAGCACCCAGACAAGGGATTATTTTCCTAACACACAGCAATGCGTGTATCCTATTATACTGGAAATGTTAACATACTTTCTTTTTAAAAAACATTTTATTAAAGTTTATTGCAAGATAGAAATACAAAAAGAAACAAAAGTTAGAAAGGAAAAAGAAGAAAGGTACAAAGAGAAAGGAAAAAAAAGTGAATTCAGGCATTGTTAAGTGTAGGAGAATACAAAAAAAAAAACCTTAACTTTTTGGTTTGCATTTCTAAAACATCTCAAACCATTTCTATAACAAAGTCATTCTAATGATCAAAATCTAAAATCAACGTTTTTTTTAAAAAAAATGAGCAAAAAGGTCCAGAAGCAGTTGCCAATCAGAAACAAATCTAGGTAGGCTCTTCTCTTTAATTAAAATAGTCAATTTTGCTATTTTCTGTCTAGCTTTCTAGCTGTCAGCTGTCAAACATCAAAGTCAACGTGGATGTTTAACTGGTCCTCATGCTTGAATCCGCAATGCTGTTCTGTTGAGAAGCACAGGGTGGCCACAGTTGCCAATTTTCTTCCTTCTTGAACAGTAGCGAAGAAGTACTGGAGCTTACGGCAGTATTTATTACTCTCAGTCCTACAGGCTATATCCTTCCACATAAAAATTAAAATATTTGGGCAAGAAATATCAAGTTTCTTCTGTTAGAAGATTGAGAAGATACATTTTAGCCCGGTTTTCAACTATGTAGCCCCACAAACCCATACTTTAAAAAAAAAAAAAAAAACACGCATGACCATATCTGGTTCATTTAAAAACAAAAGAGAAAGAGACACTGAAGTGGCTCACAACCTTCTGCCTATTCAGTTATAAAAGTGTGCTTGTACCACTTTCTCCTCTGACAAACACAAAGTGTTTATGGCCTTTTAGACCCATTTGGCAATTACAATATTAATAATAAGCAACTGCAGGGCAATGATTTCATGTGTGTGTGTGTGCGGGGGAGTTCCAGCACAACATTGCCTCAGAAGCAAAGAGGCCTGCAATATGCAATTTACTCAGTATTCACCCTCAAGCTGGAAATGTTTTTGGTATATTTATATTTTTCTGTATCCTGTACAGAGGTGGATTTATAAACTGTACAGATGCAGAGAGATCTCAACAAGACGTCCATAACAAAGAACATTTATTGGTTCATCAGGTATCCTCATAACTCACATTTGTGACGAGGTTTTTCTTTAATGACCAATCCTTTACATGTCTGCCTTGTAGTAAAAGATGGTTATCTCCTAACCCATCTCGTAGCGATAGAAAGCAGCTCCCATGAGTTAGGGAGTTCAGGCCAAAGTGAGGAAAACTCCCCCAACCCACCGAGGGTCAATTCAGTGACCAATCAGGATTACAGATGTAGCCACGTGACATGAACTACATTTTCCAGGATACCTTTAACTACATTTACCATGATGCATTCCCTTAAGGGGACAGCTCATAATTCCTAAGTAACGATCCAATTCCCATAGACTGGCTGGGACAGCACATATATTTTACATTTCTAAGGTGCTCAGTCCAACAACTATACGGCTCAGAATTTAAAACAGGAAGGAAAAAAACAACCCAAAAGATTGCACCATCTGGAGAACAGCAAATTCTCTCTCCTATCTATAGAGATAAAAACAGACCATCACCTAACCCATGGCCCTTTCCATGTAAATCTTGGAAATAGTATTTCAGAGGTATGTGCTACAACCAAAAAGGCCCATCTCCTGGGCTTGATGACATTACTTAATTCGCAGAACCAGGAAGAGACCCAAGCCTTATAGCAGGAGTCCCCAAGGCCCATTTGCAGGATGTAGGCAGCACAAAAAACCACACTCCCCCTCTGGTCCGCAGAAGAAACTCCACGAAAGTGGTCCCTGGTGCCCAAAAGGTTGGGGGCCTCTGCCTTACAGGACAGGCAGAAACAAAGGACAGATGCTTCCTTAAATAACAAAATGCTATGCCATGTAGGGTTCTAAAGATAAAAAATAGCACATTGAATTGCCAACTAGTAGTCAATGAAGCTCTTAGAAGCTGGATGACACACGAGATCGCTGACCAATCACTGCTTCCTCTGTAAAAACTATAACTTTTGAATGGTTTTCAAGGTTTCCCTGGGTAGACAGCATTGCAATTGTTCAACCAAAACATGACTGAGGCATTAGTGACCATTAGAAAGGTCTCTCAGTTCAAGAAAATGTGCAATTGGCATACAAGGTGAATCTATGCAAAAGGCCTCTTGGCCAAGCTAACATTTGCTCTTCAAACAGGAATGTGAGTCCAGGAGATGTCTAGCTTGCATATTAGACCTAAAAAGGGCAGTACAGGTAGCAGAAGCCCACCTGAGCTTGTTCTTCCACATCTAGATCTTCACAGCGTCTAGGCACTGAAGCGTGACTTCAACATTGAGGATCAGATAGGTAAGTATCATTAGCATACGGATGATGATACCTGACTCCAAATGGATGGATATCCTGATTCAGTAGCCTCATGAGGTGTAAAATGTGAAGGGTCAGAGCATCAAGCATTGTGATTCCTCACCATCAGTTCATTGACCTGTCTCTTCTCGGTCGCTGTGTGAAGTATATAGATCACAAAACTGATTTCACAGGAATAGTGGAATTATACTTTATTGATACAGATTAGAATAACAGAATCTTGCATGTCTGATTGTTTTCCCTCTTATACCCTACAGAGTCAGGAGAGATCCAGTCTGAATTTGTTTCTAATACTTTCCTGTTCACAGCGAATAAAAACAATTTTCTGCTCTTTTGCTGTCCTAATGGCATCTGGAGGCTTTTCCAAGGTAATCTCCATGACTCCCTACACTTCTTACCAATATCAATTGAAACCAACCATAGAGAAAGGGGAATTATTGCACCCTAATGCCATGTCTCCCTCTCCTATCCCCCATTGTCCAGAAGGATAGTGTCAATTCATAAAATATTTCTATGGTATTTATAGAGTTGCCAACAGAAAGGGACAAGGGAGCAGTGCGGCATCTTGCAAACCAAAAGTGCATTCCATAAATGTTTTCAAAGATAGTAACTAGATGACTGAAGTTTCTGCCACGCAAAATTCTAACTGGAGAGCATGATTGATGACTCTTGGCTATGGATCTGTCTCATTGGAGAATATGAATTATGATACACCCAGGGGGTGGGGGAAAACCAGAGTCAAGGGTGACAATGAATTATGTGTCTCAGAGTCGGCTACACATAGACAGTGCTGGACATGTTAACTCCCAATAAATCCTTTTTAAGTTTTGGAAGTTTGGCTCGAGACTCATGATTTAAATGGGGGGTCACTGCCGGAATCCTGACAGATAGTACTATAAGGCCTGTGGTATCAAAAACTGCTAAGAGACCAAGAAGAACCATTCTTGTGCTCCCCATCCCAGCTCTGCCACATGTCATTCACAAGTGTGATTAGTGCATCCCTGAACTAGATACACAACTGTCCTGGGACTGCTGCCGCCTCAGTATTATGGCTCCTGTATTTTTTCCATTGTTTTATATTGCCAGATGTTTTCCATTCTCTACCTTTGTTTCCTTGTCATATGATTTCATTACAGTGTTAGGCTAAGATAAGTTATCACCTTTCCACCTGTTAGAATGTAAAGTGTGGTCCCAAAAGAGTGCCATGTTTCTCTGAACATGTCTCTGTTAAACAGGTGCCTACAAAGCTTATAGGTAAGTCTTAAGGAGTAAATTTTGCAACTGTGGTCTTGCATCTTGTATGCCCCCCCCCACTACTTGCAGTTGTGATTGTCATGCAAATTTTTAAAATCAGTTTACTCTAGAGCGATGAATCAGAAACAGAAGATCTGAAGAAAATTCAAAGTCGTACAGGTGTTTTTGTGTTCTTATATTTTTCATGTAATATAGCAATATTTTGACAGCAAGTAAAATTTTGTTGAATATAATTCAGATATTTTGCTTTGACATTCCATGTGACTGAGGAAATCACCTAATGTTATGTTTTGTTCTTATTGCATGTATAGCATATGTATATATCTCTACTGCAGCCTTCCCAAACTGCTCGTCTTCTACAGTAGATATGCTGGGACTGTAGCACTCAGAATTATAGTATATTATAGAATTACAGTATGATAGGAATATTTGGAAGGCACCAATTGGAGGAAGTTTATTCTATTGGCCTTCCTTGTATCTGGCAACACAGTTTGATGTTCTGAGTTAGCTTGCTGAAATTGCAGCAGCACCTTTCTGATTTGCTATACCATTGGCCCGGCAGGACTCTGGAATGGAAAATGGAAAGTAGCTGGAAAAAAAAAGGCTAGAAGTGTAGGTTATAGTACAGGTAGTCCTTGACTTACAACAGTTTGTTCAGTGACCATTCAAAGTTACAGTGGCACCTGACATGACTTATGACTGTTTTTCACACTTGCAACCATTGAAGCACCCCATGGCCATCAAAATTCAAATGATTAGCAGCTGCCTCATATTTATGATAGTGCCACGGTCATATAATCCCCTTTTCTGACCTTCTGACAAGCAAAGTCAATGAGAAAGTCAGATTCACTTAACCTTGTTACTAACTTAATAACTGCAGTGATTCACTTAACAACCAAGACAAGAAAAATTGTAAAGTGGGGCAAATTCACTTAATAACTACCTTGCATAGCAGTAGGAAATGTTGGGTTCAATTGGATTGCAAGTCAAAGATTACTTTAAAATAAGTGAAAAATACAAATGAACTGGACTAGGGAGAACTTACTTTCTAGGTGCTTATTCTCCTGGAATAGATCACAGTATTTAAAACTTCTATATTGAGGTGTGTTAATGTTCTGAATCTTCGCTTTTCTTATTTCACATATTGACTTGCTTAATTTTCTGATTAACCTCAAGGAAACATCTCTGAAACTAAGTCTTCATATACTGACAATGTAAACCTATATAGCACCAACTCTGTTGTCCTGTTTATTTGCTGGGCATACAGATGGTATGTGGGTGGGAGTGCATGTGTATAAACAAGTGTAATTGAGTGGTTTTCTCTTAGGAAGGAGGCTTAGAATTTGACAGTGCCAAACCCATGCACAATAAATCTTGCTTCTGAGCATGTCAAGCCCATTGGTCTGGAAAGCAGAGAGTCCCCAATGCTATTTATCACCAAATA